TATGGACATATGGACACACTCGAGCTCTCTCCACCACTGATCCAATCCCCTAAAAAAGGCTCTCTCCTCCACTGTTCAAGATTCAACCAAAATTTCCCGGTCAAGATAGTATCCCTCTGTCCCATAAGGATGGTCGTAATGCTAGTATCATATCTAGTATCATGTATGGTAACTAAGCAATTTTGATAATGTGTCATAGCATTAAATGAAGAAAGAGAGGATGGAGTATCATATCATGATACCGTATTATAATAAATGCTATGCTACTTTGTGTCATGCATGACAATAAATAGAGTATTATATGATACTAATATATGATACTATGCATTAGGGAGATAGTATCATACACTAGTATCATATGCATGATACTAGTATATGATACTCCCCATTATAACCAGCCTAAGACTAGCCACAGCGGGAGTTATTTCAGCAGTAACTTCAAGTCCAACTCAGCAAATTTGTCTATGTGACAATGAGTTAATGAAGAGAGAGGTAGTTCTAGTAACTTAGCTAGTTACTGTAACATCACATGTCTCAATGCAGTATGAGTCTATAACCTAATAAATGTAGTTTTGCATGACACCACACCTATGTTACTACCCACTATGAAGGTAGTAATATAGTCTAGGGATAGTGTATGTTACTCTCCATTGTGGCTAGTCTAATATTAGAGCGTGCTCCCTCCCATCCCCGCTAGGGTTCCCTCCGCCGCCGCCGCCCTAGCCTCCACCCGCCGCCGCCGGCCACCGGCGTGCGCGCCCCAGCCCGTCCTGCGCCCCTCCCCTTCCTCCATCGGCCTTGTTCGCTCACTCGCCCCCCCTCACCGCGGGCGGCGGGCGAATCCCCCACCTCTCCCCTCTCTTCCGCCCCTCCCTCCCGTCCTTCTCCCCCTGCCGCCGCCGGCGTGGTCCACCAGGCCTTGCCCGCGCGGCGCTGGCGGCGGCGGGCTGTTCCATCCCCGCACGCGTGTTGGGGGGCGCGGGGGCCCCCTGACCGCAGCAGTGCTGCTCGGCTGCAGCAGTGTGGCTCGGCGGCGGTCCCGTGGGCCACGGGTGCCCTTGGCACGGCGACGCGCTGGTGCTGGTGGTTGGTGGTGCCCGCCCGACCCAGATCTGGGCTGGCGCGGGCCGGCGGCTCGGCACGGGGGCGTTGCTCCCTGGTGGTGGCGAGGTGTCTGTGGTCTACGGGTGGTGTTGGCTTCGTTGGCCGGCGTGCTGCGGCGTGGGGATAGGGACTGTCCGGACCCATGTGGGTCCGGCCGGGCCATCGTGGCCTGGCAAGTCCTTGTCGCCGCGTCCGGTCGGCTCCGCGAGAGCGATGGAGGTTGTCCCTTCCCGCCGGTCGAGTTGCGGTTGCCCTCGTGGCCATTGTCTCCTTTCCCTCCTCCCAAGTCTCGTGTTGGCGGCCCCAGTGAGACGACGATGTTGGTGCGGTGACCGTGGTGGCACAGGCTGGTGGGCGGCAGATTGGGTGGTGCATTACCGAGTGTCCGGGGTAGTGGTGGTTGTTTGGGTCGGGAGAAATCCCTAGCGACTTGTCCGGCTCCGACGCGGTGACGCCTGCGGGCGCCGCCGGACCTTCCTGAAGGGCGTCGGGTATACCCCTTCCCCACTGCCCTTCGCGTACCGGGGGAAACCCTAGGACCCGTGCGGGCATCAGCGGCAGCGCCGTCGCATTCCTTCTTGAAGGTGTTGCTTGGTACACGACCCTCCGGAATGCTAGGAACGCGGTGGTACTTCTCCGGAGGGTGCAGCAGTTTCCGGTCTTCGTCGCTTAGTTGATCTGCCGGTGTCGGCATTTATTTCTCTTTTCTTTCTCTTATTTTTTCTTTTTCGGCTTGGTTGTGCTGTAGGCCCAGCAAGTTGGATGTATCGGTTGGATGCTTTATAATATAAAGCGGGAGGAAGCTCTTTTTCTTATCTAATATTAGATCGTTTTTAAACTACACTAATGTCAAAAACGCTTTTATATTATGAGACGGAGGGAGTAATACACGAAGTCAACCGGTAACATGCATGGCGCAGATCCCGAATTGCAAGCTGCAACTTGTACTGCAATTACATAGATAATCCATCCACGATGTATCGATCTCGAGTATCTCCTTGGGCGCCTACAAATAGCATCGATGTGTATGAGCGAGTCATCACACATTTTCTATCCTGCATCTTCTTCTCTTGCTGACCCACAAAGATCTTCCTCCTAGCTAGCTAGAAGCTTGCCCGGCCTTGCTGTTCCCCAACAATGGCTTCTGGTGCCGCCGCTCTTGTTCTCAAGGCGTCCGTCTTCGCTGCCGTACTCTCCATGCTGGTCCTGCCTTCCTCGGGGCGTTGTCCATCGCTGGGACCGGCACCGCCACCACCACCGACGTCGGTTTCAGTAACTCCAGAGCCGCCACCGCCTTCGGGGCCCAAGATAACATGCGCGGATTGTATGCAGTGCCGGGACTCGTGCAGCAGCGACTGCGCTGCTCTCAGCTGCCTCCGGGAATAAACATTGGCTGGATAGCTAGCTCGCTAGGATGTGTTGCATTCATGGTCAATCGTGTCTGTACTCAGGTTGTGCACGGTTCTACGTATGCATAGAGGAATAAAGATGAATGCTATGTAGCTTTGGATAAATCTATTTTCTGAAGTATTTCGGTTCAATCGTACTGAACCTCTTCCTTCATTCGTCGTATCTTTCCATCCGATGGCCAGTATTTTCCGGTTGCTTAAGATTGCAAATCATTCGCACGGACATTGGCATGACAGACACCAGTTTTTGTACGTTGCATTGTGAGGACTTCACTTTTTTTCCGCAGAAACTCCATGTTTTAGTTACAATTAGCTGGCACTAGCAGCTTGATACACGGAGGATTGTGGCGTAGCCAACAAGCGGTCCTAACCTCCATTCTTCCATGGATAGTCAGACAGTCGACAACCCCTATTTTGTTCACGATTAATCTTACATAGCGAAAGCCAGCGCAGTTCCAGATGGCGTTTAATCTCCGAGGTGAGATGGCGAGAAGGCGATTTATCTAGAGAGCTCCTTTTCTGTGGCATTGTGAATTTAATAGCATATGAATTTCAAGGAGAATTTTGATGCAGTGTCCTTCTACCCCCTCCTTTTCTTCTGTCAATTTTCAAAGAAAATTGTAAGAGCTCCTTGACCAAATGTCACCCGCTGCCCCACCAAGATGCATAGTTACCCCCCACCATACGATTTGCATCTGGCGGTCGAGAGCATGGGGGCACCGCATCCAGCACACACTGATCATGTGTCGATTGGTAATCGAAACTTGGGCTCATGGAAGTCGTTGAGAAAGTAGCATGAAATACGCAACACATCTACTTTGATTTACACGATCTCACTTGGGTACGCAGGGAGGAGGATGAGCAAGACGAGGGTTCTCTCAGGAAGAGGATGAGGGAGCCGACAGAGCGTTCGCTCTGAGACAATAATGTACATTCATGACATAGTCACTTAATTAGTCCAGTCCTAATATCTATGTGTGGAATCATTCGAGATGATTGTACTAGTTATGAGTCAACTTGTAATTAACAACCATTAGATAATCCGTGAGCGTCAGGCAGCCGTTGGGAAGAAGGCCTGCCGCGACACCGCACCCTTCCACCGCCTGAAGCCCAAATCCCACGACTCCGACAACGATGACAGAGGTGCCGCTGGCCAGCCTGTCATGGTTTAAAAAGTCACCGTCAAGTGTAGGGTAACACATGGTTAGTTTTTTTAGATCTTTAGTTCACCAGACGAAATATCAGCGGCTTTGTGCAAAAATTATCCTAGTTTAAATTAATATGGTCCGGTTTATTTGAGTTTGAATTAATTTTTCATCAATTTTGTTACAATTCATCTGAAATGTAGCCAGACATTTTCGGCTAGCTTTGGATGATCGGTTTCGGCATCCCTTTCCGCGGGCGGATGCGGGAGGAACTTTGGGGGTTAGCATTGGAAATGCCCTTATTACTAAATTTGAATTTACTATATCTCCGTTATATTGGTAACTCCACTAACAACCACAAACTTGTGAAAACTACATGAAATATGCAAATGATTAAAATCATCAAAATAGTTCTGATGAACATATTGAGTAGAGTGGCAAATCCTATTATTTTTAATACTCAAACTACCTTTATTAAAGGAAGATATATCATAGAAAGGGTTATGGTTCCACATGATGCCTTGAACCCTATCAACCACAATAAATAGAATGCTCTTTTTTAAGGTGGATTTGAAGAAGGCATCTGATAAAATACAAGGGCCCTTTGTCCATCATATGCTCAAGTAGAAGGGGTTCTCTGGTACGTGGTGTGATTGGATTTTGTATACTATGAGGGGATGACATGTGGAAGTTAATGACAAGGTAGGGATTTATTTGAAAACTCATAAAGGGCCTAAATAAGGAGTTACTCTATCTCTCCTTCTGTTTGACTTGGCTGTTGATGCTTTGACCATTATTATAGAAAAAGCTAGGCAGAATGAAATTGTGAAAGGAGTTGTAGGAGGGATTTTGAAATATGCATTTAATATGCTCTAGGATGCCGATATATATATATGTATGTATGTATATATATATGTATGTATGTTTGGACATATGACTTGCTATATGATGAATATAGTGTTACAAAGTAAAGTTCTTTCTGTATGCATTTGGACATATGACTTGCTAAGTATGCAATTTGTTTAAAGTGAACTTTTCTTATTCGGAGATGCCATTAATAAATCTAACATGTACCAAGAGATATTTACTTGTAATTTGGGTTTATACCATTTAAATATTTGCACATCTTTCTTTCGAATGTTAGAATTAGTGGTAGGCGCTGGAAGGGGGTGGCAGATAAAATTGAAAAATAGGCGTGGATGTTGGCAGGGGAAATTACTCAATATTTCGGGCAGAATCACTCTAGTTTGGGCTTGTCTGACTAATATGGCCTTGTATTTGATGTCCTTCTACTCCATTCCTGTTGGGGTTATAAAAGATAATTGATTCCTTCATCGCCATATTAGTCTGTCTAGCTGACGAATATAAGAAAAATAATATCATATAGGCATTCTACATTCTGACAGCCCGATCAGTTGTGCTGAAAACTAACTAAGAATGGAGAGTATTCGGTTAAATCCATGTACTTGGATGTTATTAACTCTAGCGCGATTCCTAGAATTAAACATGTGTGGAAAGTTAAAGTACCTTTGAAAATCAAAGTGTTTATGTGGTTTGTGCATAAACAAGTTATTTTAACTAAGGATAATTTGGCAAAATGCAATTGGACAGGATCTACAAGATGTAGCTTTTGCGACCAACATGAATCAATCAAACACCTCTTTCTTGATTGTCCTCTGCCAAAAATTATGTGGTGGTCGGTTCACATAACATTACTCCTCCGAATTCTATCAACACGTTATTTGGGACGTGGCTTGATGGGATAGATTCCAATACATCGAGACATATTCGTGTAGGAGTATGTGCTTTATTATGAGCAGTCTGGAACTACAGAAATGATTTGGTCTTTAACAGAACAACAAATATTCAATTTTTGTAGGTTATCTCCAGAGCCACTGTGTTGATCCGTATGTGGTCGCTACTCACTCCGATGGAGGCCAGGGAGCGTTTGGTTATTGGATCTACCAGATGAGAGATGGTAGAACGGGATATTTTCAATCGGTTTGGATGGCGGTCATGTAATAGGATACGCATTTAGTGTTCCTATCTTTTTATGGCAGCCGATCGTGGCTTTTCTATTACTGTTTAGCTCTTCGTGAGCCTTTTTTTGTTATTTGTTCGACACATGGAGACTTATGTTGGACCTTTTGCTTATTAATAATCATGACCGTATGCATCATTCTGATGCAGAGGCTGGGGCGAACCCCCCTTTTCGAAAAAAGGCATTCTACATTCAGAGTGCATGAATAAAGCTCTGCTAGCCAAGTGGTCTTGGAAGCTAGAAACCGAGTCTGGACTATGTCAAGATGTGTTCCTAAATAAATATGTAAAAAATAAACGTATTTCTAGGACAAAACCTAGAGTTGGAGACTCTCATTTCTGGACTAGCTTACTAAAAGTTAAAGATCTCTTTTATCAACATTGCAAGAAATGATTGGGGATGGAAAGAATACAAGACGGTGGGTTGGAGACAGACCACTTAAAATCATTTATGCCAGATTATACAATCTTTCCATTGATTATAAAATCTCTATGGCTGAGGTTCTTGGGAAAGGATAGGGTCGATTTTCTTTCAAGAGAAATCTGCTTGGTGAGACTTTGGATCTATGGATTAGTCTTAAGGATAGATGTGAAGAAATTAAGACACCAGGGGGCAGGTACAATATAAAGTGGATGCTTATTGCTGAGAAAAAGTTTATTGTTATATCCCCATACAAACATTTGACTGTAAATGAAGTCAGATTCCCTCAAAAAAATATGGAAAACTAAAATACCTTCTAAAATAAAGTTTTTTCTCTCGCTGGTGGTCAAGGATAGTATTCTTACGAAGGACAACCTACTTAAGAGGGATTGCAATGGGAGTAAGATGTGTGTGTTCCGTGGTCAAGAGAGTGTTTTTTAAATGCCCAGTAGCTAGACTCATCTGGAGCCCATTTAAGTGTGATTTTGATTTGATCACTACTCATGTCAATTTGCATGAATGCTTCGGAAGCTGGATAAAAAATTTCCCTACACCGAACAAGAAACTTGTGATTGTTGGGATTTATGCTATTTTCTGGACTATATGGAGATGTAGGAGTGATATAATATTTGAAAAGAAAACTATCAATTATCCAATGACTGTGATCACACTAATGTGCCATTGGATTACCGGGTGGTCTATTTTGAAGATAAAGGAGGCGCCTCAGAGGGTGCTGCTGCAGGGGGCAATGCTCATCCTACAAGGATATCTACCATTCCATTAAATATAGGAGTACAATATCTTTGATGGTTATTAAGTACTAGATGACTTGCATGCTTTCACAAATGAAAGAGTAACTAAAAGTTCTGTGGATTGAAGTCCATGAAGTCGATGAATTTAAAAATGGAAGAGGTTTAAATGGATGGAGAGAACTCCATGTCCAACCAAGGATAAAAGAAGTTTCATCATAATTATTAAGGACACACATTTTTATCTCAAATTACACCAAAATATTAAACACAACGGAAAAGCATAAGCACGCGCGCACACGAGTGGTTATGCAGAAACTATACTAAAATGTATTTTAGCTGCAAAAAATACATACCATATATTAGTTTTTGTACCAAAATTGCTAGCCACTACTAGGGAAAACCTTATACACAGAATCTTAGCAGCAGCGCGGCATAAAAACAGGCGCTGCTGCTAAGTAGTAGCAGCGCGACTACGGAAAGCTCGCTACTGGTGCAAACTTAGCAGTAGCGCGTGATGCTTAAACCGCGCTGCTACAAAAATTCACCGACAGTACACAACGACATAAGTTTACCTGTAGCGCGGCGCCAGGGAGCGCGCTGCTGCTAATGCCATAGTAGC